GCCTCAGATTTAAATGTACTTTAACAAAGCTTTAATAAATTTGAGGATCATCGAGTAATTTCTAACCCAAAAACTTGAATTGTCCCTAAACTATTTATTCTTCTTAGCATATTTGAATGAATGAATTGGGAATGAACAAATCTTCAATGTTCAAATGGAATGAAACACAATTGAGCTAGAATAGAGCTCGCAGTGACTATTTATATATATAAAATAGTTCGTAAATGAGTAAAAGTAAACAAGTTGAAAACCCTTAAGGAAATCTAAATTATTCTTAGTTTCAAATTTCTTATTTATTCTCTCTCTCTCTCTCTCTCTCTCTCTCTTGCATCTCTTGTTTATCTTGTTTATCTCGCTCTTCGACTATCTCTTTTCATCTATGTATATCTCTCTTGCCCTCTTCCTTACTTTTTCTCACTGCCTCTCACTCGATTTTTTTATATCTCTACTCTCTACTTTGTCTTCATATTTTCTCACTCTCTCTTTTTCTCTCTCCTTGTATATGCCACTCTATTTCTCTTAGTCATTCATGCTCTCTACTATCAGTGCGCATTTTATTATCTATCTTTTGCTTATTTGTTCATTCTCTCTCTTTCTATTTGTATATCTCGCTCTCTTTCTTTGTCTACCATTTTTCTATTTTCATTCCATTCCCCAGCTTAATCCCCCTCCACTAGCTCTCTCCACCTCCCTCTATCTCTCTCCAGTTCCCTCCGTCTGCCTCTTTCAATATATTTTTATCCAATTTCTCCCTCTCCCTATCTCGCCATCTCGTTCACTCCCTCTCCTGCCCCAGGTACACACACTGCATCGAATTGATGTACTCGTATTATTATTTAAAATTCGGAAAATTCCTAAATACTTATCTATAAGCTGTTCGCATTTGCATGCTTAACGCCCTAATTTGCGAGTGTGGTCAGACTGGGCTCGGGTCGATTCGGTCTGTGCCTCTGTCCATTTGTCCGACTGTCTGCGTGTCTGCAGCTCTCGCTGGTTGGGCTTAAGACAAATTATGCACAATAAATATCGCGTCGATAATCCCAGTTAAAAGCACAAACATTTGTTTGGATTTGCTGCGGCATTTTCAAGCAAACGTTCTATATCAAGTTTGCGTTGCGTTTTCCTTTATTTTTGCCAGTTTTTCATGTTTTCCTCAGTGCTTGCCGAGTGCTGGTTAATGGTCGTCGATTGGTTGGACTAGAACGAATGGCAGGCCATTTGTTATGGCCGCTGCCAAAGGGCTTATTAATATGCGTCGTGTGCCAGCTGACAGACAGTTGTCAGGGTGTTGGCCACATTTTAGCGTAATCTGTTGGCCAAATCGCGCTTGCCAACGCGCAGGTGCTCCATAATCGTCAACAGGCAACACGCCTCGCTCGCTGCGGTTGCGGACATGTAGTTGTCATCAATGCAAATACAACAGCCACACACACACACACACACACACACACACACACACGGTTGTCAGCCGCAGCATCGTCAGGCTCGCATGATTGATCAAGTGCGTGCGTGCTGGAGACAGCATCAAGGAGCAGCAGCAGGAGCAGGAGCAGGAGCAGTGGGAGCTCAACTCGGCTCAGCTCAGCGAGCACACACACACACACAGTACTATTGCCGGCCATTTTTCTGACATTTAGTTGACAGAGCAAAAATTTTTGTTTGCTCGTAATGCGCCCTCGACATGGTCCAACATGGTCATCGACAGCGCCATTTACATTGCCAGCAACTGAGTGTTAGTGTGTGTGTGTGTGTGTGATTCGAGTGAGTGCTTAAAAAGCATTTCACGCCACGCTCCCAGCCAAGCGAGCGAGCGCACACACTCTCCACTCTCCACTCTCCAAGCTTATTTGACATTTATCAGTGCAGCTGGATTACTTCGATTGGCCGGCGCCCGGGCAGGCAGCGCAGCTTTGTCGTTGATGGAACTGTTTAAAGCATGCTCAACGATGGATGACGCATTTCAGCGATGCTCCACGCGCCACGCTCCACGCTCCACGCTCCATGCTCAACGTGCGAGCGCACAAAAATTGTAATGAAAAGTGTCAGGCGGAGTGGCTCAGGACATGTGATAATCCAATTGGAGCGGCTCGACCGCAGTGCGAGTGCCTTGTCTAATGCAATTCGTGATTCAGCATAAAATGCTGGGACATGCGTCGCTGGCCACGCCCACAATTTATAGGCCACTCACCTACTGTCCTCGCCCTCGCCCCCGCCCGGCTAGCGCTTATCGTGACTACGTCCGTTCGTCTGTCCCTCTGGCTGGCTGCCTATTTGGAGCTGCGCCCACTCGCACTATCAAACGGGCGGATAGGCCAATTGCCAATTGTCAGATACAATTTATTCTTCCCTTAGCTGCGGCCCCCAAACCCCACAACGAAACGTGGGCCACGCTGGCTGCACTAAATGCGAATTGAAAATAAAATATTACACCGAGATTGCAGCGGCAGAGTGCGAAAAAAGCGCTCAGCAGCGAACCAACAATGAAATCCAGCACCGACCGCCCCCACCCCCTCACTCAGCCTTAGCCTCAGCCATGACAATGCCGGCTCGCATGCTGGCTAAGGCTGTAGCTGACGATGGGGGGAGGGCGGTGCGAAGTGGGAGGCGAGCTTCGTTTGGAATTGCGGAGACAAACAAACATCCAATGCAGCAAACAGCAACACGATTACGCCGCTGGCCATGCGACGGCAGGGATAGAGCTTATACCAAAAAAGAGACAGAGAGAGAATGTGTGAGAGTGAGATGCCTAGAGAGTGAAGGAATCACTGGGAGCACAAACGAGTCCTGCAATGCCAGCGACGCCCGCAACGGTGACGATCATCAAGCGCAAAAGGAATCGTAAAACAAAAGCGACAGATAGTTTGCAGCATGCCATAAAATCAACAGCAACAACAACAGCAACAACAACAACAATGACGACGACGGCGACTACAACAACAACAACAATGGCAGCCCTCGCGGCAGTTGGAGGCAACACCAATCGATTGTGTGGGACATTTTTTTCCTCCTCTCTCTGTTTTTTTGGTGGGTGGACGTTAAGTGTGGGCGGCCATGGGGCATAAGGTAGAGGAGCTCCCATATTCACAGTCAGTCCTTCTCCTGCTCGTCCTGATAACGCGTACGCAGAGATGCTTCGGCAGCGCTGCCAACAACGCGATGCGACGTCAACTGCTGCGCCAGTGCAGCTGCATTAGATGCACGACTCGATACTATGAGATATGCAACTATTTATTGAGGGAATTATTACGAGTGCATGCTTATGAATAATACTACAAATATATACATATTAATATTTTATTTTATTTTATTTTATTTATTTTTAATAAAATATTTTTAAATAGAAATAGCTGCTATAGCAACCACTTTTAAAGAAGATACAGAGAACTTGGGTCGGCTAGCACTCCAGCTGCCATTGCCGAATATATTGAACTGGGTTAGTCCACATTCAGCCTTGCGACACTTGAAGGACACACAGCAAACTCTAGGACGCCCTTTCAGAAATCAAGAGCCTGAATGTAACTTCAAATGGAAGCTGAAAGAGCAACATATTAAAGGATTTTTTCACTTGCTCTTAGCTGGATGCCATAGAAATAAATGGAATATATTTGCTATAAATAAATGAGAATATCTGTAGTCATATGAGCTAAATGAAATAAATAGTAATACATTGAATGACTATACTCGAACTCGTTTAAAGTTCAAAGTAAAAAGTAAATAAATAAATATAGATATATCATAATTTATAAAAATATAATAAATCGAGGTTATAGACATAGTCCTATGGAACTCTGCATATAAATTATATAAATAATAAGAAATGAAAAAAAAAAAATAAAATAAAATAAAATAACTATAATTATATACACACAAATAAATTAGGTATTAATAATAATAATAATAATAATAATAATAATAATAATAATAATAATAATAAT